CCCCGACGTCCCGACCACCTCTCCTCCCCTGCCTCTGTCAGAGGAGCTTTGGGGGGCTGTTTAGGGAGAGGGTTCCAAGGCCAGTGTGGAGGCGGGAGGGTGGGGAGTGGGAATCCGACTCCTGCCTAGGATGGAAGACCAACAGGGAGAGCGGTGCGCTTTCGCTAAGGAAGATTCCAGGTTAGAGACCGGTAAACAGCTCCCTAGACAGCGCACGTCTGTACGTGGGGGCCCTTCCAGGCTTGGCGCTCATAGGAGCTCATCCACAGAGGAACACGGGGCACAGGGGTGTCCAGAGTCTGTGTACACCATCGGTGCTCACGGAGGGCTGACAGTTGCAGACCTGTGGCCAAAGAAAACTGCTACTTCTCTCTTTGTCTACCCTTAGATACTTCCAGAAGCTTTTACACCAGCTGACTACGATGAAGGGGAGGGGGGGTTACACTATGAGCGGGAGGCGGCATACCCAGAGAACTCACAAAGTAGAATTCACAAACGATGAAGCCCTAGGTATCTAGTCGGTTTTCCTTCCTTGGGTTACCTACACTTTATTTTCTGCACCATCATCTCCATCTACTTAGCCCCAGTTAGATTGGGTGGATAGAACAAAATTCTGTAAGCACAGCAGACTACAAATACTCCCACTTTATCGAGAATAATAGCAAAGACTCAGTGATTACAGAAAGTGTATATTGCAGACCCACTATGCACAGAACATTAGGGGACAGGCAGTCAGAGTTAAGTAAAAATTACTTGCATCTCCGCAAGGAAAACAGCATAGGACAAATAAAGAGCCTAAAGAAACTGGAAGTAAGTATTTGCATCCAAAGCCCAGCTCAAATACTTGATAACTTTCACCTGGGCAAGTCATTGAACTACTTTACTATAGGTATCAGTTTTCTTTTTTGGGGGGAAAAATAGTACTTTTCCAGGAGATTGTTGTGGAATGTGGCAGCATGCTTAGCATTTGGTACATGAATAACACATTAGCAATCTTTAAGTGAATGGATGGAAAAGTAAACAGGTTTTATGGTATTCATGTGTAAAGACTAAATAGATGTGAATTTGATACAATTATTTTAAGGTTAGCTAAGAATAAAGAAGTACACATTCCAAAAACAAAAGGCAAATTTGAAAGATTTTTAAAGATCCAACCCGCAATTAAAATGAGAAAAGATGAAAAAATGTGGGCTTCTCTTTCTATGCAGTAACATTTCAAGGATATCTCTTACTAGTAGCTGTAACTTACATTCCTTCTGTATAAAAAAAAATCTGAAACGGAGTTGTGCCTAAAAATGGGTCTTTATTGTATAGCCAAATCATCTCTGGATGTCTGAGTAAAATTTTGCTGATAGGCCTGCCTGGGAGGATGCAAAAATTGGAACAATCATGTGGAAACTTGGAGAAGGATCACTTGCTGGAGAATATCTTCCAAGATCCCCATGTGAAACAAATAGGCAAAGTGTAAGCACTCTTAGGAGATGGAGCCATCTCTGATTATGTAGCACACAAGCAAAGGCAAAACAGCCATCAGCCATCTGTGGTGTGTCTCTTGTACAATGTGCATGCATTATTTCATCTGTATATAGACTGAGCACCTTCTCTCTGCCAAACATTTTTGACAAGCACTAGAGGTGACATGGTGAAGAGGCAGACAAGTATCCTTGTCTTTTCGGAATTTACATCTACTTTGGGGGAAAGCTATGATGGATGCAATTGCAGATTAGAACGTATGAATTTTTTTAAAATAGGAGACTTGGAATCTATAACTGGTGCAGGTAACTCAGTCTGACCATGTAGGTGAAACTGTCCTGAAGAAAACATGCCTCATTTGGAATGTGAAGGATCAGGTAACCTGATAGAGTTGGGGAAAAAAGTGTTCCAGGCATTTTAAATCAGTAAACATCCTGGGCTGACAGAAGATGGTATAAAGAATTAAAGAAGAGCAGTAAGACTGGAAGGGCAGAGGGAGAGAATGGATTGATGTCAGGAGAATAGCACTGCAGGGCTCTTGGGGACTAAGATGGGTAGAAGCAGAAGTGTGACAGACAAGTTACAGTCGGACCAGAGGAAGATAGTTCTGTCTGCAAGGGATCTGTCAGCAGGCAAAACTCCAAGGGAGCGGTGGAGTTGTTCTGAATTATCGTAGAGTCAGTCAAGCAAAGTGACGACAGTAGTATGGGAGAGCTAGCTAACCTTAGTGACAGATGGATTGTGCAGAAGGGGTTTGAAAAGGATTCAAGGATGACTCAGACATTTCTGGTTTGAGCAGCTCAGTGGTGGGGGTAGCGTAGTTGATGGAGATGATACATGAGTGTGGTCATGTTCACTACCCACTGGGAATGCAAGGCACCCTGACATTTTGCTACATGCATGTGAAGCTCAGCACTGAGGGCTGGCCCAGGGCCAAAGGAATGTCCTTTCCATCCTGACACGGTATTTCCTTTGCTTACTTTATGTCTTTACCTATATTCTTCCTCCATGGAAATAGTTTTTAAAATGTGATTCTTCTTTCTTTATTACTGTATCCCATTATATAACATCATAAAGCCCTGTGTGTTTGATTAAATGTGTATATATTTTATGACCCTAAAGAGTGGAGGATCTATAAAAGAAACTTCTGGTAAAAGACAGTTGAAGTCATCCGAAGTGTCAAATTAGGATGACCCCAACGAGAAGAACTATTGCAGTGTTATGAAA